CGCAACAGCCCGTGAACGGTCTCAGTCCTACCGGCGACGTCCCTGCCTCCCGGCCATGGGTTGAGGGGGTACGTGTGGTTAGCACGTAGACATCCTCACCCCGTATTCCGGTCTTCTCAACCTGAGAAGTGAATTTTCTCATCGTCACACGGCAACATATACTGGGACATTGCAAGGAAAACGCACACTATATTCTTGACGGGGAATCGAACTCAGAGCCGTGTGGTGGAAAGCGAGCATGCTGACCAAGATCTAGCCACGAGCCCAATTCAGACTTTGCTCAGCCAATCATCTCACCATCTTGCCTTGTCCTCTAATCCGGCTATCGGCTTATCGACACGCACGCGCATACATATCCGTCGGCTTCGCTATTTGTCCGCCTTTCTATACTTCTACCCTTGTCTGCTCCCCTTCTCCTTTTGCCCGCCTACTTCCTTTTCTCGCTTACTCTGCTCACTTGTTTATCTGCCCGCCAACTCACTTTACCCGCCTATTTCCTTCGCCTGCCAACTTCCTCGGCCCGCCTACTTCCTCTGGCCGCCAACTTCCTCTGCCTGCCTACACTGCGCGCCTACTTCCTCTGACTGTTTACTTCGCCTACCCACGTGCAACGTCAATTCCTAGTTAACTCGCCTACCTTCCAACCCGCCTCTTTATCTGCCCACCTGCTCGCTTCCCAGCTAACCCGTTCCCGTTGCCATCTTTATTTCCATTCGACTAAAATTCCGTCTGTCCGCCATCCGTGTGGCTTCCATAACGTTGTTCAATCATGACCTATTCACACATCCATTGCCTTAACGACCCTTTATTCAACTCATATTCCGCCTGCCCTCGTCCTCACACCAGTTTTGTAAGGACAACGACACTTCTTCTACTCCATCCACCGAAATTTCAGCTGTCATCCCTCAAACATACCATTCCTGACGTTCTCTTCCAGTTTACACTACCCTTTCCCATGACGCACGGTATATGCATGGTGTTTGCTCTCGACATTACGTTTGTCGACCACAGCACTTACTCGTCATGATCTCCTTGTTGTCTCGTCAACATGACACTTTTTCATAACATTCTCAATCCCTCACTCACTCGCATACCTTAAATGCTTATTCTCCCGGCTTGGTTGCACAACCCACGCCATTCTTTGTCAGCCCCCTTTCACAACCATTTGAGTTCTAGCAATCGCTCGTCGCCCGAAACCATTGTGAATGGTTAAATAAGGAGTTTGTGCACGCCATAGCGGACATCTTCTGCGCATGCGCAGTTCAACTTTCGTATCACTTTAGTGCATCTGCGCATGCGCAGAAGATTGATAGTGCTGTTCGCTATGGTTTGCATAAACTCCCTAAGACCTGTTCTTCGCTCACACATCTACTCGATCTCATCACTTTGAACCACTGCCTACTTCAACCTATAGACACCTCCGGATCCCGTCTCAATATCTTTATCATTACTATCTCCCAAATAATTTCCTACATACGCATTATTTATTCTCTTTTTCTGTACATCTCTCCCCCTTGTCCTCCGCAATTCATTCACACACTACGTCGCGAGCGCACACCATCGTTGTCAGACCCCTTTCCGTTACCGATGTTACATTATTATCCCTTACCCCAAACCCCACATCCTATTTCCCAAATAATGTATGAACAATAGTTTACAATTCATTTTACATCTTAACTCATGCTCATTTTTATAATCCACAAACACCCACATTTCTTGTCTCTCGGCAGCTCTCCGCCTCTCTGACCCGTCCATTCCGCTGCCTCCAAGTGCACTCGCTGTCTCCCCAAACAACCACCCCGCAGGCTCATAGAGAGCGCCGCAGGAATTATTCACGTCCGCTGTGAATGTTTAACCAAATCCTCTTTCATCGCTGCTCGTTTACGGTTTGCGCCGCGAATCCCTTTGTGGGGCTTCCGGCGCCGGGTGGCGTCCGCGTGCAAAACTCTGGAGAAGGGGGAATCCCCGGAAAACAACCTCCCTTATTTACTCGTTGAGGTTTGCTGCGTTTGAACGTTTGTCGTGTATTTTTGAGCTTCTAATATTGGATAATAATATTATCCAAATTCTTCTCTAAACAGTATTAAGCAATGGAAGAGGATTATGGCTTTTCTGTTCTCCCTTTTTCTGAGCACGTGACTACAAAAGTGGTTTACATTCGCTTTGTATTGTATAAAGTGTACTATGGTGATAATGGTGAGGTAAATGAAGATGACAGGTAGAAAATAATGAATTCATGAAATGATTGAACACGTGTTGGTAGACACGCGACAGCAAAACGATCGTCAGCCATGTTGATTGATTATTTTGTTTTCACGGACGCGTCAACTGCTATAGTTAAGTGTAGTTCATGACTTTATCACGGTTGGTGGAGGTGATCTTCCCCCGCTAATAGTGAGATCCGGCGCGGGTCGATTCGGGGTATTTTCCCCATA